AGCAAGTACTACCAATCAACCAACAGTCTGGAGATAAATAAACTGTCTTGCTATATGTGGAAGAACCTGGTACTTTAGTGCCTCACTAACAGCAAATGTGACACCTTTTGCTATTGTTGCTTGACAAGTTTCATTAAACAAAACATGCCTGTGCATGCCAGGAATTAAAACTCATCCGGTGTACATGCACAGTATCTTACAACATTATCAGAAACAAACTTGCTGCCCTAGTTTTTTCTTCCTGGTGATATGGGAGTTGTGCCCTCCCATATCATCAGGAAGACAAAACTATTGATTTAGTATCAGTAAGTAAATGTTTGAAAATGTGGTGGGACTGTGAGTTTTCACTTGGTAATACAAGTGTAAAGGCTATTAAACTCAAAGAAGGAGCCTGCAGTTCACATACTGAAACAGCTGCAGCAACACACACATGAATAAAACACACACACAAACAAACAGCTGCACAAAGAGCAGCCCAGCTCCTCCTCTGAGCTGCCTGTGTGTCACACTGAAAGAAAAACGCTGACTGCCAGTGACACTGCAAAAATCTGCAGCAAAAGAAAGGACACAGTAAATAAACAGCTGATTGAATCCTGAATAGATGTTCAAAGAAGAAACTAAACCAAAACCAATCTTTGATGACGTGAATTATGACAAACAAAATGACTGGTTCTTTTAAAGAATTACTTGGCAGAAAAGATTGGCAGTTTAGTTTACATGTTTTTACAGATAAAAGAATCCCTCTTCGTTTTACATTGTGCCGTCTTATTTGTAGAAATAGACACAACTTTACATGGAGGATAAATAGACTGGAGTTGTGGCAGAAACATTAACCAAGCAAGAAGGAAATGGTTTTACTTCCTGGTATCCACATCTGAAAAGTATGAGGAAATAGCAAAGAGTGAAAGAGGAGATTTCCATTATGTTCTTGGGTTGTGTCAGACCATCTTTTCTATTTTAGCAGTAAAATAACAATGACTGGAATAGCACTTGGGAGCTGAATATGCCTGATTTTTTTAATCAACATGTGTGTATTATTTATTTAGAAATCAAACGCCTTATCTTGGTTCTTCCCTGACCCATACCTCCTTGGCATCTGTAAACTACAGAGAACGGTGCAATAGAATAGAATAGAATGCCTTTATTGTCATTGAACAGGGTGTACAATGAAATGACAGTGCTACTCCTTTACAGTGCAAACATATAAGTACAAAAATACTAAAGCTATGATTTGTCTCAGATACTTCCTGGTTTATTTTATACTTTAATCACCAAATTTGAATGAATATATTCCTTTCAGAAAATGCAGTTTTATCAAAGTTCTCATAATATACAGCTGTCTACAATCCAGATGACTGTGTTGTATCTCTTCACATTGTTTGTATCATATACTTCTGAAATCAAACAGCAAAGAGGAACAAGCAAAATTGAGTATTCAGTGTCTTAACTTCAGGCTTTTGAAAGCTCAGACTTGTTCTACTTGTTTGCAGAAGCTCTGTGAAATCCGTTTCAACATTTCCTTCATGTACAATTGTTGCAGTAGTTTTAAAGATTTCATCACATGTTCTTTGAAATTGTGGCCAAAAGGGTCCTACCCTGTTTTTTGTTTTTTTAAATCACACAGTACAACTCTTGTGTTGAAGATTGCTCCAGACCACTATCTCTTGTATTTAATTTCACAGCCTACTTATTTACACTTTACTCAAACAACCTAGACTGTGACCAACCCCCCGGTCTCACCGATGCTCCCATGATGATGAAGACGTGAACGTCAGACTGATGGAACTCTTCATCTTCATGCAGCTCCTTCCTTAGCTCCCCAAACACCTCAGAGCGAGAGAGGGGGATGCGGCTCATTTTTCCTTAAAGCAGAAAGATAGAAAATGCAGTTTTACAAGTTAAAACAACAGTTGAGAAGACAGACAGAGACATCCACATTATCAAACAGGAATTATTAGTGCCCCCAAGCCTGTTTCCGCATTATTAACATAGAGTGGTTCAATGGTTTGATGGATTGATGATAAAAAGTAATGACTAGTTGCAGCTCAATTGATGCCTGAAACAGTAGGAAATACAGATTGCATTTGTAAGACAGCATTGTTTGAAAAATGGTTCACTCTAATATTACGTGTCTATGATTTTCCTTCTTTACTTCCTTCTTCATTATCCAACATGTGAAGAATAGGAGGAGTAACTGTTTGGTTTAGATTAACTTTGAGTCACTTAGACTGAGTCAAATCAGGAACTTAATAACTTTTTTCTTCATTTCAGTTTTTACACCACAGATTTCCTTATATTCCCCATTGCAGACTTCTCATGCAACACTTCTCTAAAAAGCTCTATGACAACATATGAAAACCACACTGTAATAGTAGTGTAGTGTAATACTACAAAGGAACATAGGGCAGCAACTTAACATTATTTCCGTTATCAAATAATCCATATATCATGTTTCCATTTCAAACAAGGAAATATTATGCAATCCATGAATTGGTCTATTGTATGATCTGTAAAACATCAGTTATCCCGATCACAGCATCCAAGAACAAACACTGACATTATCTGGTGTCAGCTTTTGTCCAAACAATTTAAACACAATAAAAAAAATCTATTTTGCAGTAACTTGCCCAGTTAAGAACCTGAACCATTCAACTATTTGGCATTTTAAATATATTTAAATGTGGTGGATCATATAATAATGACACTGACTTTAACACTAATTACCGTTTATTTCCTGGGTTGTAGTAAGTTTTTGTGCGTTATCTGGTCTTGCTTGTATATTGGTGACTTTAAAAAGAGGATAAATAAGAAAGATTTTCAAAAAGGTTGCTAACATTTTTCACCTCTCTTCTCTCAGCTAGAAGAAGAAACAACACATGGAGGTGATGCACGAGGATTTCTGCCAGAATGTTTCACAACAGCCCCAGAAATAGCCTGACGCACACAAACTATAATGGTGTTAGTCAAATCCTCCACCAAATCCCGTATTTAGAGGACTAAACCTCCTGCAGAGCCCCGCGGCGAAGCTGGATCCCTCCGGGCTAACGACACAAGATAACCCGGGCTAACGTGTTGTCCTTTCGGGGACAGTTGGACAGTTAAAGACATGAGTGTGGTCATGCATATAGGAATGTGATGCTAGTATGTGATGCATGCTAGTAAGCTAACACTAAACAACAAGCTGCTCGTGAGCTTCACACGCTGTTATGACAGCATGATAGGCACTCGCTGCTTGCTAGCTTACTACTGCTACACACACACAGACGCACACAGACACACACAGACAGACACACACAGACAAGGTGAAAGACACAAACTGCTGCTACTCACAGGTCCGGGGTAACGAGCTGATAACCAGGCAGATAAAAGAGCCTCCGAGAGCCCGGAGGAAACACACTACACACCGGCTCACTGACAACCAGCCAGAAAGTCTGCGGCTGGTTACGAGCTCTGTCTGTGTCTGTGTGTCTGTTACCCCTCTGTGTGTCTGTGAGTGTCTGTGTCCTGGCCACTTCCCCGTTGGGGTGACACAGCAGATTTAAGAGATTTTATTGGTTTAGCAGAAACTCACCAGCGCTCACTCGACTTCCCATCACTGTCGAGTCCACTGACGTCACAAGGCCTGTCGGTGGGAGGGGCCTCAACGACGAGTGCAATGACCGCTCCTGAAGAACTGATGATTATATATAATATATAATATATAACATGATATAACGTATATAATAGAGTTTAATATATTAGATATAATTTAACTGAATAGAAGCTAACATATATACATGTTGAATACGTTTTTATTTGTATATTATAATACAAATGATAATAATAACTTTATTTGTATAGCAATTATCGAAACAAAGTTACAAAGTGCTTCACTCACAAAACAAATGTGAATGAACTAAAAAGTCTGTTCAATTTAAAGGGCCAAATCACAACATAATAAAGTCAAGAGAATTAATGGATAAGAATAAAGGTCCAGTGTGTAAGATTTAGGTGCAAGGGATATATTGGCAGAAATGTAATGGAGAATAGTCCTCATGATGTTTTCACCAGTTCATTTCATCTAAATTGTATGAATTGTAGTTTTCTTTCCCCCCCAGAAAAGGCCATTTACTGTATATTTAAATACTTTATATTTACATTGAGGGGACCCTCTCTACCATAGACTGTATATAGCTCTCTACGGAGGCCACCATGTATTTTACATTAGTCCAGACTGGACAAACTAAAAACTTTTTGAGTTTTTATGACAATTAAAGGCTGCCACAGGTTCTTTTTCATGTTTGAGGGTTAGGTGAGGGGTATTCTGCTGCAACATGCAATTTCACCACTAGATATCACTAAATTCTACACACTTTGAGCTGTATAACTTGTATGAAAGGTGCTAAACAAATACAGTTAAATATTGTTTTTATTATTGAAGTTAATAGAATAGAATATACTGTAGATGGTGAGAGGCGAATAGCAAGGCATCCTCTTTCATAAACTGATTTTAACTAATTCTAACTAATTTACCTTTGACAATATCTCTGTTGTCTTTTGCTGAGACAAAAGAAGTGAAACCTTGTGTACTTGTGTGAACTCTAATCACATCTTAAGCAGGGCATTGAGTACAGATAGATTTATAATAACACTGGGATGGAGAAGATTACAAGAATAAATTATGAGAGTCTTAATGTTGTGAGAGTAAAGTCATCATTTAAGTTCATGTGCTGTTTTGAAGGCGGGATATCAGGAAATCAGTCTGTCACCTGCATTTCAATGAGGAATGTGGAGCAAGAAAAACTTGTGCAAGATTCTCTTCTGAAGAAAGAACCACACAGACCCGTTGCAAATTTGTTCTTTTGTGCAGGAGGAAATGTTTGGAATTGCAACCATTTAGCTGTGACTTCAACATATGTGTAAACACAGTACTTCTATATCTTACTAGCCACCAGCTGATACATGTTCCTAGCAGATTTAACACCATAATTAAATATATGAACACAAAAAAAACAGCCATTGATTTTTTTTATTTTTTTCTTCAAGGGGAAATGTTATTTTTCTCTTTGTCATAGTCCTCAACTCTTCTTGTCCTTCAGCTTTGCAAAACACTCCCCTCTCAAACTCCTCCAACTCAGGGAAAATACAAATAAAACAAAAACAAATGCGGAAGGATTCATCAGGCCTGAGCAAAACACTGTTTCAGTAGTATGGGGACAACCTCTCTCCCCTCTCATACCCCCCCAAAACATCCCAAGAGTTAACAATCAACACAAGTCTATGGACAGCCAATAGAAATAGGATACATACAATGCACATTTTTATAAACTCATGTCCATTCTATAAACTCTTTGCTTATATGAATCACTCATCATTGGTCACAGTTCACGTGATAGTTGGTGATCTCCCTTACATTGCTGTACTGTGGTGTGCCCACTGTTCCCCGAGGCCAAGTATCATTGCACAGCAGGGGGCCGATAGCACAAGGCTGCGTGAGCTGGCTTTGGTACAAACATGATCAACTGTTGGATGCCATTGTTAGAGTGTGGCGGAAGAGCTGTGAGTCAGGGCTGATTCTCTCGATAACAAAAGTCGAAGCCGGAGAAACAAAGATCACCGTGATGATTAGAATGTTTACATCTCGACAAGCCCTTATCCCGTTCTCTCCGTTCAAACGCCAGCAGTCCAGACAGAGCAAGCAGGCACAGTTCCTGTTAAGTGTTATTCTACAATTTGATTTATATTAACTTAAGGCAATCAAACTCAGCTAGTAGTTTCTTCCACTGAAAGACTGAGTGGGGGAAAATAATAAAAGAAGTATGCGTGTCGGCCAAACCAATTCTGCCTGTCCTGTTCACATAGTGTTATACCAGGGATATTACTACTTTGAAGTTTCAATGTATGGGCGGGAGAGCTCATTTCAAAGTCTGACTGAGATTTACAATACTGCAATAGTGGCGTAAATAAAAAAAAGCACAGTGAATCATCTGTAAATGTGTGTTTACTGCTATGCTTACGTGAGCATACACCACTCAGGCTCTGCTGCAAAGGCAGCTAATGGTTATTACTATCTATACATGATCATCACACCTACCACCAGTTGAAATACTGTATTGTACATTAGGATTGAACAGTTGAATTCATTGGCTGCAGTTGATCAGTTGGTACCAGTGAGCTTGAGCTTTTCAACTGGCGTTTTACTAGAAAGCGTGCTGGTCTTTGATCCTTATCATTGGAATGAAATGATCATAATAAGCTTAATAATTAATCAGAATCATCAGAATAATAATAACAACATTAAGAATATACAAATGATGGATACAGAAGTGATACAAAATACCCTACATTAAAACAAACATAAATGAAAACAAGATACCACAATCAGACATGCTTCAAAGCGGTTATGTTTGGCAAGAAAGCAGTTTTGTTGTATCATAAAAACCTCACAGTGAAAATAGTTATGCCCCTCCTGGATTACAAAGCACAGTATTCAGTCAAAATCAATATATTTATATTTTTTTCCTTCATCTATTTCTTCTTCATAGAAGAATCAGGATGTGTGAGACCACTGCGCTGAAATCCAAGGCCCCCCCATCCTGTCCCGATGGCTCTGGAACAACTCTCTGATCTAAGTTCCTTCATATCCATTTGCACCAAAAAATACTTGTCTGAAAGGGAGGGAGCCATTGTTGAAACATACTGTTATGGCTGAAACCCGCCGCCGCGCACGGGCTGCTCAAGCTCTAAGGAACCAACCTGACATAAAATGACAATGAAGAGGATCCTAATTCTAGTCGAAGCTATTTAAACTCCTCAGAGAGCGGAGATAAAAATATATATTTCACTTTCCAATAACATCCATAGTCATCTTTAGCAGTTTTGTCTAGAGGTTGAGGGCAACATTATAATTTAGAACATATTTGATCAGCGTTTTGCTGCCTGAATGACAGACAAAATAAATAAATTGTACACATTATATGAAAATAACGAAGCAGCACTTGCTGCCAGCAGTCGGGCAAAAAAGACAAAAGGTTCAGGTCTGCTGCCTAAAAAAACAGAGGCGGTGGTCATTGCTGACTTTAGCGAGAACATATCAAACATGTCTTGCCTTGCTTTTAGTAAATACTTTAGTCTTTGGTCAATATATTTCTCCTCAGTTTATACATATATTCATACACACACAAATATGCATGTACATACACACTTATAAACGTGTAATAAACTGGATATTTGTGCACGTATGTATTCACACTTTTTCATAAAGGACCTTTTGCACAAAACATCAAGATCGAAATAAATAATTAATCCAGAAACAAAATATGAGTACCTGTTTATAATTCATGAGATAAAAAAATACAGAAAAAAACACAAAGTAAAATTAAAAAGTAGCCTTATGTACAGCGTTAATCTTCTTTTGACACAGGCTAAAAGGCGTTGTTTTAAATAAACAGACTTTGCATCTTTCAAGAAGCCTGAGAGAGAGGCTAGACATGAGAAAAACACTTGTCCTTCAACATGTGTGTGGGCCAAAATGGCTGCCAACCGAGAACATTTTCCTCTCATCAAGAACACTTTCCTTTTTGAAGTCTTAAAAGGGGTTTTCTTCCTCTTCGCTGGGGATTCAAGTGATGGCATCTCTAGTTTTTAGTCGCCCCCTCACACTGTGAGTCCTCACTCAGTGGTGCCGTGTCCATGCTGTGGGAATAGTCCCAGCATCTGCTGTTGCCATGGCTGCTAACTGTTGGGCGGTCCATCATTCAGGAAGTAGGTTGTCATTTCCCCTTTACCTTTGACCTTCACAACCCCACGACACTCCAGCACATAGCCTTTGTTTGCGAGCACCTGGTGGAGGTCTGTGGTCACCTGTGAGCAGAGCAGGAGGCAGAGTCACAGGATATATTTGAAATTTATCCAAAATATTTCTGATCACTTGTTAAAAATCTGACCGATAATTCTTTTCGAACCAGACACAGTTCTATATTTCTTTTGTTTTGGCAGCCTCATCTTCTTTCAAATCGAAATTGGAAATTGACCAGAAAACAAACAACTCGAAATGATGCCAGTGTTTTCTTATGTATTGTGAGTATAGTGTAATTAGACAACTGTTTGCTAAAATGTCATATCAGCTTTTTAAGAGGTCAGAGAGAAAAGTCGTACCTGTATGCGGTCGGGTACACCCGTGCTGTCCATACGACTGGCCACATTGACTGTGTTTCCCCAAATGTCATATTGAGGTTTCCGTGCCCCAATGACCCCTGCTACCACAGGTCCAATATTCAGACCTGGCAATTAAAGATAATTAAAAAAAGAAATACAGTGCATCAACAAAAGCTGCTTTCTTACTGTCTGAGATAGAGAGCGGTCATTTTCTCGTACCTATCTTCATCTGGAAGTTGTTGAAAGAATGCTCGTTGATGTATTTCATCTGTTCTCTTAGTCTCATGGCGTAGTCGGCAAGCGCAGTAATGTGGGAGCGACCCTCCTTGTCGTAGGTGGAGTCATTGAGGCCGGAGGCGGCCATGTAGGTGGAGCCAATGGTTTTGATCTTCTCGAGCTGCCTGAACTTCTCTTCACTGATGATCTGAGACATATTAAAAAAAACTGAATCAGGACTTGTTGTATATCTACGTCATCTCCTTCTCGTCCTGAGTTGTGGTGTGAAATATTGTCTAGCTTCTACTTAACATTATGGTAAAACGATCTGTATCTATATAGTTCTTCTCTAGTCTTGATGACCAGTTCAGTTTTGCCATCCACCTGTTCACACACACATTCATACTGACAGTGCTTCTATGTGCAGGGCATGTTCTGCAGAACTTTATGATGTCACAGTGAAATTGACCTTTGACCTTTTGAATATAAAATATCACTTCATCATTATATTATATTATATATATATACACACACATTTCTCTTAAAACTGTCATAATTAGAGCCTTCATTCTTGAGATATGGCCAAAAACTCAATTCAATGTTAAACATAACCTGATCACAGTCCAACTCAACTCTCTCTGGATACTGTGATTACAAGAAATGTTTTGGACAGATGGACAACCCACAAACTAAACAAAGACAGAGATGAACTGACTGAGCAGAGGTCAAATCTGCAGAATAACAACTTCACCTCATCGAAGTCAGCGATGATCTCATTGAGCAGCCGGAGACACTCCACTCCCTCGTTGTTGGCCTCCAACTCCACATAGAACTCGGAGAAATTGCTGATGGAGGCGAACATGACAGCCACGCACTCACAGGACTGGTAGTAGAGCTCGTCGTTACGCCGTTCCCGCGCCAGGAAATGGGCGGCCACGTCTTTAGGCAGAATATTGTGGAGTAGGCGACGATTGTAGGCTTGCAGCTCCTCCATCTCCTCCTTCTCCTCTGTGGCCTGCGAGTGAAGAGTCTTGGTTAGATGTGTTCAGCTCTTATTATAACACATTTGTTTATTCATGGGGAACTTTGAGGCCTCTGCAACAGTGTTAACAGCCTGTTTGCAGCTCAAGTCAAATGGCGTCCTCTAGTGGGGTGAAGCGGTACATACCTGTAATTTCCACAGGAAGTCGAGGCGTGCTGTGGATTCGACCTGCTGAGCGTGCAGGTACAGTGCCAGGACAAAGACTGTGAGGATCACTGGAGTCATGACCCGCAGGGACACTTTGGTCACAACAAATGGGCTGCGAAGAGACAGACTCGTGGTCATACTCGGTTTAAAGATACAGACACTAGCATACATGTTCGTTTCTTATTGAGCCTGGATTAGTACAAACGCCTTTTCACTTGCCTCTGCAGAGACTGTACATTATTAGCATCAAAAATATACTATAAGTTTTTCAAAATAACACATATTTACATAACATTAACTTTAAATGTTGCATTTAAATGTACATGATTACTTTCCATCACAGACTGGAAAAGAATTTATTGAAGGTGCTGAAATATTAGGAGGAATAAAGAATACAATCTTACCACTGGTTTGTAGTTTCATTGAAACTGGACCTAAAAGAAAAGAAATACAAAAGAAACATTTTGTTAAATAGAACAAATAATAATCATTATATTATTTTATTGAAAGTATTTTAATTTAAGATCTTACCATTGAGCACTAGTTTCATTTAAATCACTGAAAAAAGGAAAAATCTGATTATAATACATGATATATTGTAATTTATGCATAAGTGGAGGAAGAGTATTGTTAGAAAAATGTTGATGTCTAAAACGACAACTTTTGTTGGACTTTTGTGTTTATGGACTTTTATCTTGTTGTTTCCTTGTGTTTGGTTTTTGGATTCATGTCTCTATTGTTTGCTTATAAAGTTTTGTCCATCCATCATCATACCGCTTATCTTTTTGACCGTCGCAGGGAGAAATGGAATGAATCCCAGCTGACATTGGGAGAGAGTCAGGGGGAAAATCCAGCAGACACAGGGACAGCATGCAAACTCCACACAGTAAAACCACAACCGTGCTGCCTGAGTTTTCTTTTTCCCTTAGTTATTTCCTGTTTTATTTTGTTGCCTACCCTTGGGTCTCACTTTACATCCTGTCTCTGTCTGCTTTTCCCTCCTTCCCTGATTATCTTGATTCTTTCCACCTGAGTCTTGTTAACTCCTGTATTTAAACCCTGCGATCCCTCCTCTCCACTTTGTCTTGTCAGGTGTATTCCTCATGTTTTCCTCCTGTAAGTTGCTTTGTTTTTTGACCATGCCTTATTACCTCTATGTTTTCTGAACCGATTTCCATGTACCGAACCTTATTTGTCTTATTGAGGACTGTTTGGATCTGTCCTCCAGTGTGACATCAGCATTTGGGTCCTCAGCTTGCTCAGGGTACGGTCACACATAAATGAATATCTCAGGTTAAAGTTCCCCAAAGTTAAACTCCATGTGAAGCCACGCTGCGAATTGCCTCGCCACAGGAAGTGAATGTTTATATGCCCCCTCACTCTCTCAGATTGGAAATGAACAGAAGGCGAAGATTCGCCACTGACAAAGTTGCGAATGTGTGACCGAACCTGAACGATAAACACAGAGTCCAACGATAGATCCAAATAGATGAATTGAAAGTCATTTAAAAGTTTAACACAGAACAGATCATGACAATACTGATACACAATGATGGTTTCAATGCTTGAAATGATACAACATTTTTGATAGCTCTAAACAATTTGTGCCAAATTACTTCCAGATTAAATCAACAACTTAAACCTAAATAAAATGGTTTAGATCAGGAAATGAATGAATACGTAAACAAGACGGAATATGACCAAGAATTAGTTTGAGCAGGAAATATTTAGATAGAATATAGAATTATGGTTTAACACTTAACAAAAAAGTTCTGTAAACTCTAAGTGCGATCTAACGGCATAACCCTGTCTCCTGCTCTCTCTGTGCATCCAGCACGTGGCACTCACATGGCATTGGAGGTGACAAAGAGGTCGGCGTTGTCGAAAAGTGCTACTTGTGGCCACTCCACCAGCAGCAGGAAGATGAGCTGGATGAGCAGCATGAGGGCCAGCTTCCCTATGCTGCTGATCTGCAGGAACACCGAGCAGGCCAGCAGCGTCAGCAGCACGCTGTAGCTGAAATACTGAGTGGGAGACGGCAAAGAGAGGTATGATCCACAACACATCTCAGGAAAAAAAAAAACACGCAAACTAAAAGACAGTGACATAAGATGAACTCACCTCAGGGAAGGGGCAGGAGGGGCCTTGGCTGGGACAGATCTCCAGACCCCCCTCGACAGACACATTCAAGCTGCGGATCAGACAGGGCGTCACCAGGGCTGCAGAGGTGTTCAGCTTCTCTGCAACGCATGTCGCTAAGCTCGTCGTGTCACAAGCAAACTGCAGGAAACACAAGTGCACACATGTTCATGACATTTTCAACATGGATGACTGGTATACTGTGTATGTGTATCCACATTAAGATAAGCAGCAGTTACTTTCATACTTACCATATTAACAAAGGCAGAGATGAAAACGAGGATGATGGTGAAAACTCCAACCAGGGTGCTGTTGGTGCGAGACTGAACAATCTTCTTTGAAACAGTCTGCATTGCAGCTGGAAAGAGCTACAGCAAAGAGTTGACATGTCAAATATACATATAGAGTGAGTGGTTGATAAATACAAGCCAGGATTCTGTTCGTGTTTCTTGATGAGCTCCGCTACCTTGATGCAGGAGTATATGGCACAGATGAAAAGGATGTTGGCGAGAATGAAGAAGATACTGATGTAGATTCCCAGCATGACTGGGGTGCTGCAGGAACACAACAGAGATGAAGTTATAACTCAGTGTTTCGTGGTTCTGGTTTATTCGGTTTGGTTCATTTGGGCTGGTGTAAAAGCTGTCAATCAAACTCTAGCTAATCCGGGACATAACAGAGAACAACTCTGTTCGTGTAACCACGGTAACTTGTATGAGGATTTTTCCCTGATGGATTAGAAAGTTAACATGAGTTAGAACAGAGGTTCACTTGTGTCCTACTCTGTGTATTTGTTAAGATCCACAATAAAAACTGAATGGCAGCAACAAGTCTGTTAAAATAACAAATATCATGATTCTGTATGTTAAGTAAACTTAACTGAACACTAATATATTTATGTTTGCTGATATGGACCAATTTGAAAATGGTTCTGTATATTTGTGTCTTCTTTTCATTTATAGTTATTATAGTTTATATTTCCAGATATGCACCAATATAAAAACAAAATTAACAATGTGGTTGCATTTATGTTTACATTTTACCTAAAAAATAAGTATAATTATTTTCCTAATTCAAGTTCTATATATTTGGTTATGTTTAGTAAGTCAAGTTTCTGTAGAAGTTGAAGGGTTCTACTGTAATGAATCCTTCCACTTTGTACCTTTTCTGTCAGTGTGAACCGGTCCACAACTAAAAGGTAGCAATGTAAAAATTTATATTTGGTCCAAACCAAATGAACCAAACTACAGATGTAAAAAGAACCCAATAACAGGCAGTAAATATTCGAGGATTTACAAAGTAGTATTATAATGTGTGCACTACTCACTGTGGAAAGATAACAATCTGAATGAAGGATATGAAGCAGAATACGAGTAGAGTACAAGCAACATAGCCTCCAAAACGATCGTCCACCTTCTTGGAATACTATGATGGAAAACAAGAAGGGGGTTAGAACATATATGAGTTGAAGAAGCAGAGAAAATAATCAGAGGTTTTAGTTTAAACCTTTTTCTCCAGGCTGGAGGTCTGGAAGGTGAGCAGGAACTTCTTTACGTGGTCTTTTCGTAGCTGGTCAATGCTGCGAGCGTCAATGGCTCGGCCGAGAAATTCATCCACCTCATCCTCCGGGTTCATGGTCTCCTGAACACCGCGGCTGCAAGGAGAGGAGACACAGATCAGACAGGCGATAAAGAAAAAAGCGGGTTTCCCTTCACACATTATAGAGTCACTACTCACTTGTCTTTACTGGAGGTCTCATCAATCCCCTGAAGAAGAAAACAGACGGACACAAATTAAGACTCAGGCAGCCTGGCTCTATCGGCACAGAGGAGCGTGTTGATGTTGAGCCTCACCATTTGTCTGAAGACTTTAGAGTCTTTGGTCCTGGAGAAGGTTCTGTCAGGGACCCAGCGTGGCATCAGCCCCTCGTTAGAGTTGGCTCTCGTCCGCTGCATCTTGGCCATCATCGCCTTCTCCTCCTTCTGCTCAGCAGCAAGAACATGAAGGCTTGAATAAGTCACTCAATACACAGGGAACGATAATAGAAGTATTTACTTGTTCATAAAGATGGATGAAGCGTCTCCATTTCCTCCCACTTTCTAAAGCTAAAATAAAATATAAACGCTGTCATCGTGCACATTTGGAAGCAGAATCTACGCAGGAGCAACAATAGCAAAGTCCTGCCGATACATGCGTTTGACCTATTGGGAATCAGTCTCAGCTGTCAATCATTTTCACCCCGGTTTAACAAATTAAAACCGAAATTTAAAATCATTAAAAATAAGTAAGTGACCTAAGAATAACCTTAAATGTATCTGATGTGTTCTTTGACCTTTTAGTTTGTCCATGTCCCATCCACTAACATGGAGGAGGAAGGATTTATAATCTATACTGCACCAGCCACCAGGTGGTGATAAAGATGCTTTGACTTCACTTTTGGGGAGGAGTTATCTATCTGTCCTCCATCTTTATCTACAGTCCATGGCCCCACCACCAGAATTAGATCAACTGTACCCTGTGTGAATTGAAGCAGCCCCTCCCCCTCATTGAAAGGAGATCTGTAGCGTGGGTCTAAACTCAGTTTGTTATGAACCACTGTGCTGCGTCTGAAGAACTGAAAGCATCAGCCCTGCACCAACACGGCCCTTTTTAAAGTTATTTCTGTTCTGAACACCCACTAAAGCATCAGTGGGTTCTTTCGGCCTCAATTGGAAAACTGTGATCGATTTTTCAATTCATTTTCAGAATTTGTAAACCTGAGCTGTGTGTGCTTTTTGTGCACTGACCCGTTTCTGACTGCAGCCGAGGACCAGGAAGGTCTCGATGCTGTTCTCCTTCAGATATGCATTCCTCTCTCCTCCGAAACCAGGCTCCACCTCATAGTCTCCATTAAGATACTGCAGCGTGGCCTTAGTGATGTGGATCCGCCTGCACAGACAAAGAATATCACATAAAACCTTTTCACATCTTTTTAAAAAGTGGGTTATTGGGCCAAGAGATTAAAAAAACATTTCTTACAGTGATCAACTGTCCTGTTATCAGTTGAACTAAGACTGAAACGATTAGACGGCAATTGATCAAGTAATGATCAATTGAGAAAATAATCAGAGAAGAATAAAAACAATGGTTTAGTTGCAGCTTCACTATAAACAGATAACAAAACAAAAGGAGAAATATCTTTATAATTACAGAACCAAGGTGACTTGAAGTGAGGTCATTTCAAACATTAAGTTCTGTTGGGTTGATGGATATGGAACACCGTGGTAGTTTTTTTATATGTAAACTGAAAACCAGAGGTGGAACAAGTTGCAGCTTTTTCTCTAAACGTGTGTGTTTAATTCTCTCACCCGGCTTTGCCTCCCGCTTCCATGTGATTGGCCAGCGTGACGTCGTTTGACCACACGTCAAACTGCCACTTCCTGAGTCCCAGCACACCGCAGTGCACGCGCCCGCTGTGAATGCCAACGCGCATGTTAACGTTGACTCCTGTCACCTCGCGCACCAACCTGCAAACGAGCCACAGAGCAGAGGATCAGCGTCTCCTCTGCAGCAGGAGGACAAAACGTTTTAAAACACACTCATACCAACAGGAGCTCTACTCACGAGATGGCCTCTATCATGTCAACACCCATCTCCACACAGCAGTGCGCATGGTCGGCCCGGGGTTCAGGCAGCCCGGACACACAGTAGTAACAATCACCCAAGATTTTAATACGCAGACAATGGTTTTCCTGATGAAAGGACACACGAAACAAGAGAGAGGGAAGGAAAGGACGAAGGAAAAGAAAATGATGTTTAGAAGTATAAGGGTCACAGAAATAGTTTATATTACAAGAATACATTTTTAATACTGTGAGGATTAAGTTGATTAAGTTGTAAACGTGTTGTGCATTTAAGAGTGAGTTTAAGAGAGTTTTAATATAACATGACTAAAGTAATCATTTTAGGCCGTGTTATTTTACAGAGGATAAGAAGATCAGCCTGTTGCATGTGTTAAAATGAGGAATTTTGCTAACTTACACTTTAGTATGTAGGTTTTACAATTAACATAATACTTCATCATTCGGCTCATCAGCATCAGGACTTTGAAAAGAGTGAGTGTGTGAGTGAGTGATATTCAAAGGTTCATCTTTTCTCAAGAATCAGTGAGATTGTTTCAAGATATTATGGATCCACAAGGAGTGAAACAGGTTTTCCTTGCTGCTTTCTTTGCATACAAGAATGTTTCGTTTTTTTGTACTGTTTGACTTTTGAGTCAACTTTATATATTAATTTCACATATTCAGCAGTCTTAGTTAATGCAAATTCCTTACTGAGCTGTGGTGTAGAGACAAAAACCTACATCACCTGATCTAAGATGTATCTGGGAACGTGGCTTATAATAAACAAGAAGAAGGATCATAGCGAGTAAAACCTTTTGCAAGCTGAGCTTTGAAAATGATGAACCCAAATCTTTAAGTATGAATCTGTGGTCAGGACACTGTGTGTAGCTTAACTGGAGGCAGGTGGAGACAACCTGACTCTGTGGACGTGTGTTGTCACACATTGGAGACAAGTGACTGCAGTGACTTACCGATGCCAGCTTGTCAAAGCGGGCAAAGAGTTCATTGAGTGTCATGACCAGCTCCTGAGCTGTGCACTGAGAGGCCAGGCTGGTAAAACCCTCGATGTCTGCAAACAGGATACTGTGGGCGAGATGGAGAGGAGGACAGACGGCGTGAGAGAGGGAGAAACAAATAAACATTACAGGAGGAGGAGGCGGGCAATAAATGATTTGCCCTCCTACCTTGTGACAGGAGGCATTTTAACAATGAATAAATTCCAAGAGCTGGGTTAGGATCATTTGTATGGTTTACCAGTAACCCTTTTAATAATTATGTCATTTAAAAGTCCTCACAAAGTATGCTGGGGGTTTCTTAATCAAAACATAACGTTGGGAAGCAGTGTGGGATCATGGGAGTTTTTGTCTTCATAACTAATGCAGATGAAAATCTACCTGATGTGACTCAGCTGCAAATCAGGTTCATGGATCAGGTGATGTATTAAAGTTTTATTCACATTACGCAGCAAAGGGGGATGAATAATGTTGATCCATTTCGAGTGACCAATAAAAGCAGAGGAGGGAAATAACACCTGACTGTTTAACTGGCTAGTTATAGTAGAGACGGATAAAGCAACAGGTAAAGAGGATATTACACAATGAAAAGGCTACCTAAATAAATGTCCTGTTACCTTAAAGGTAAGATTTAGGTGACCTTTATATTTAAATACTTTATATTTACATCAAGGGGGTCCTCGGAGGCCGCCATGTTTTTTACAGTTGTTCAAACTCTACAAACTAAACACCTTTTGAGTTTTTATGACAATTAAAGGCTTCCACAGGTTCTCTTTCATGTTTGGAAGGAGAGGGTGAGGTGAGGGGCATTCAGCTGCAACATGCAATTTCACCACTAGATGTCACTAAATTCAACACACTGCACCTTTAAATAAAATTGGGGATTTCTCTGGGTTTGAACATTGTTGGAAACATTTTGGATAGTGTAGGTACCCAAGTCAACAATATAAATGATATATAACATATATAACGTAGCTTTAGTCATTAGGTCATTAGGTTGAAATAAAGCGTCAGCTGCACTGACACTGAAATTACGTCCCTGTGAGAAAAACTGTGAATCCGGTCTGAAAACTCTGATTTTACAAATACCTTCAGAGGTTTGGTATGAACGTTTCATATCTGTGTTGTGTTATGTTGTTATCGGGGCTGCTGACCTTGAGAGAGGCAGGAATGTTGACCTTAAAGTCTTCTGAAGGCGATCTGAGTGTGTGTGTGTGTGTATATGTGTGTTTGCTATGTGTTTGCTATGTGTTTGCTCAGTGCTGTAATTGAATGTGTGCTGAAGCTCTCCATCTTTAGGGATTATCTTATCTTGGCTGCTGGTGATTAAGTATTCCCTCACTAATGTTAATTAGCCTCCACTCTGCCAAACCACTCTACCCTCTGCTGACACTGTGTGTGTGTGTGTGTGTGTGTGTGTGTGTGTGTGTGTGTGTGTGTGTGTGTGTGTGTGTGTGTGTGTGTGTG